GCAGAGCAATTTTAGTGGTATTGCACACGTGCGCACATCGTGCATTAAGCGCAGCACACGGGAGTGGTGTGCCCCTGAATGAACCGCCAGTAGCGGCTGCCGGAACCCACTCCTGACCTCACCCCATTCCTAAGAGGTCCGTAAAGGGGGCGTGCGTAAGCACACCAGCGTGCCTACCGTCCCTGTCCTATTCTCCCCATTTACTTGTCTTCATTTCTTCCTTCATGTCCATGTTCACACTTATACCCGCTGTCTTGTACATGTTTGAGAAAACTAAACAAAATAACAACATCGTGATGACAGTCAATAAATCGATAAATAACTCCCAATGTCAACATAATACTTCCATCCCAAATCATGACAGTATAAAAGCCCAAACTTACTGTGGTAGGAATCACCGTGGTTGGATCCGGAATCACTCGGATGGTCAACTTTACTGTGCCGTTTTGAACATGGACTGAAGTCCTTTCAGCACTTGATAACAGATTATCATCTGTTACGGAAACCTGCAGCCGGTATTCCCAAACTTTGTCTGTTCCTGACGTATAATCGAATGGGTTGGTCAGGACTAACCTGGAGAAATTGGAGCCGGCCTTTGGCGAGAAGTCAAAATGGTTATTGACGTTACCTAAAAGCAGAGCCAAAGACAAAATGGGTAAAGATAAATGAGGTTTCATTCACTGGAAGAGGGTGGATAGGACGGATGGTTGCAGGAACTGGGAATGTCTACTCTAGATATGGTGGCGGAGCCTTGGTGGCGCAAGGGTTAGAGTGCAGTACTGCAGGCTACTTCTGCTGACGGCTGATTGCCAGCAGTTCAAATCCCACTGGCTCAAGGTTGATTCAGCCTTCCATCCTTCCAAGGTGGATAAAATGAGGACCCAGATTGTTGGGGGCAATGGGCTGATTCTGTAAACTGCTTAGAGAGGGCTGTAAAGCACTGTAAAGCGGTATATAAGTACTATTGTCCTTCCTTCCTTCCTTCCTTCCTTCCTTCCTTCCTTCCTTCCTTCCTTCCTTCCTTCCTTCCTTCCTTCCTCTCTTATTTTCTTTCTCATTAGTCTTCCTGGTGGCACAGTGGTTAGAATGTCTATTTTAGGCTAACTTTGCCCACTGCCAGGAGTTCGATTCTGACCAGCTCAAGATTGACTCAGCCTTACATCCTTCCAACTCCGAGGTGGGTAAAATGAGGACCCATATTGTTGGGGGGCAAGAGGCTGACTCGGTAAACCGCGTAGAGAGGGCTGGACAAAGCACTGTGAAGCGTTACATAAGTCTTATTGCTCTTGATAAGTACTAGTGAAGAGAAGGACTTGGAGTGACAGGACAGCAATCTTCGAATATTTGAAGGGCTGTCACAGAGAACGTGGAGTCAACCTGTTCTCCAAAGCACCTGAGGGCAGGACAAGAAATAAGAGGTGGAAAATCATTAAAGAGCAGTCCAAACTAGAATTAAGGAGACATTTCCTGACAATGAGAACAATTAATTGTTCCATTAATGAATGGAACGGCTTGTCTCCAGAAGCTGTGGATGCTCCATCACCAGAGGTTTTCAAGAACAGCGTGAAGAATCATTTGTCTGGAATGCCATAGGGCCACAGGTGGCAGGCGGAGCACTCTCTGTGGGAACGCAAGCCGTCGCCCCAGCTCAACTCCACCACGCATGCGCGAGCGCCTCCCGCCAGCAAGCTGATTTTTTGAATCTCTGTTGTGTATGCGGGAGATGCGTGCATATGCGCCCAGGGGTGGGGGGATGCATACATGCGCAGGGGGAACGCAGAGGGCGCAGCGCCCTCGGTGCCCTGTTTTTGGTCCCAGGAGGCTGCAGGGAGGCCTGCTAGGCCCAAAATAGGGTTTGCGGGAGTGTGTGTGTCATACGCGCACAGACGGGACGAGGGAGCATGGGGGGGGAATTGTGCACGCATTGCATTATGGGTGTGGGCACGCACGCACACCCTGTCATGTGTGTGCACGCTTTCAGCATGCAAGGACAAAACGGTTAGCCATGCTATAGGGTTTCCTGCTTGAGCAGGGGGTTAGACCCAAAGTCCTTCCAACTTTGTTATTCTACATATTCTATATTTTGAACTAAATTAATCCCGCAGTTGTTAAGTATTGTAAATATGTGAGAACAGTTTATGGCCAATTAGAAGCTGAGAGAGTTTCTCTATCTTCCTGAACTTGATATAAGCTGAAGCCGATCTTTTAACTCAGCTGTTAACTGTTATTAAACTAACTTTTTTAAAAAAGCTGCTTAATGTGAACCAGATTGAAGTAGCTCCATAGCATTCCTTTGACTGTAGGTTGACTGTATAAATCAAATCAATAAATACAATTAAGTTTGTCATGCACGTATCCCTGACCCAAGTGTCAGTGGCTTTTATAGTTTCCTGCAGGTTAAAAAGGTGGTAGGTTAGAGGTAGCAAACCATTTTTTAATCTCTCTCTATAAAAGCCAAATACAACTCACTCATCACGAAACCTCCAGAACCGTAAAGCCTACAGACCTGAAATTTGGCATGTATGTTCCTCTTGGCTCCTAGGTGCTTGCTAAGAAAGCATTTTTCAAAATGACCATCAGATCATTAGTATTTCAAATCCAGTAATTAACACACTCTGATGCTAAGGAGTTCTACTCCCCCTCCCCACCTGGAAAGAACTCTGTTCCAACTGCCAGTTGCCTTATATTAACACGTTCTGGTGCTAATTAGGTAGAAATTCTACTCCCCCTCCCCACATGAAAAGAACTCTGTTCCAACTGCCAGTTGCTTCACATTCCGTTACCTCAGTTCAANACTGGGAATTTAGTCCCAACTTAGGTGCAAAGCCAGGGTGGCCTTGGCCAGTCTCTCCCCCTCAGCCCTAGGAAAGAAGTAATGACAAGCTACTTCTGAAATCTTGCCAGAGAAAACGTAGGAAGTTGTCGAAGTAGTCACCAGGAATTGAACACTTACTTGAAGTATCGCATCCACCAAAAAGTATTCAACAACAGATTTTGTAAATTGATGTAAGACTAGTGCTTCTACATCATGTAAAAATGAAAAAAAAGAGTGTAACCTATACATTGGTAACTTAGTACTCATCATTAATTGATTCCGGGAGGTAACTTAGTACTCCTCATTAATTGATTCCGGGAGGTGCAATGAGTACCAAAAAAGATGAGTAACAAACAAATTTTTCCCATAAAGAATAATATAGAGTCACAAGGCAGCCAACACTGACAGGTTTTAGCTTGTGTGTTGAATACCAAACAAATGATGACTACTAGGACAAAATTTTAATGTCAAAATGTGTTGAGTACCAAATTTGATGAGTTTCGAAGCAATGAGTAACACGGTACCACTATATGCCGTCAATATTGCTTAAATCAGGATTCTCAATTAAAATCTCTGAATAAAAGACATCAACAGATGCTAAAAGCAAAGCTACTTATTTTCTGAGATTAAAAAAAATCGCAACTGTCATACTTTTCCTTGAGCTGGGCTCTCATTTATGTCTTTTTGTAAGGATGAATTAAATGCTTTGCTTTCTTCATTTTTATATTTTACAACAAAGCTCCAAATGAGAAAGCTGTTGCTTATATTTCAACTGCACCCAAGAGACAATTAATTGAGTCAGAGTTGTTACAAGTGCTATAATTAAACACCAGTTATAGGATTTGAAATATGCCTTAATCAGATTTTGCTTCTTGCCCAAAGTCAACATACAGAAACAATTTTTCGGTCAGTACAAAATGTTGGGCTAACCCTTGCCCCTGCTTCTTAAGTTTGTGAACTTGAAAATTCTTGTTTTTAATTTGTGAAAAACATCATTGATCATTTGAAGGTAAAATGTAAAACTTGGTAACTTTGGAAATACAAATTGCTTCAAAAGCCTTTCACTTTTATCTTTAGAGAACCATAAAAGGTGATTCTTATATTTGAGGATAAGTTTGCAAACTAAATTAATTGATTATGGGCCATCAACTTGGTGTCAACCATTAGCCAGCCATATAGACCTTCTCCAAGATAATCTATCCTCAGCTTGACTCTTCAGATCTCCCGGTAAGATACCCATCACCACAGCAATTAGATCCATTTGTCTTACTTCTAGCAATTCCTTCCTTATCTCTCCTTCCACATTTCCCAGCATTGTGGACTTCATTTAAAAAAAAAAAAAAAGCTGGTTCTTCATATAATAAATCCAAAATTTTGTCATCTAAAGCTGCTCACTTCTCCTTCAAACAAGAACTCTAGATTGATTTGTTCTGCAATTCATTTATTCCTTTTTCTTAATTTTCCTCCCAAGATTCTTCTCCTACAAAGTTCAAAACCAATAAAAAACTCCTTCTGTCTTGCTTCTTCAAATTCCATACAGCGTGCAAAATTCTGATCTTGGTAGGCAAAGGCAGGTCACAGCATCTGAAAATATTTTCCAAGACTGTCATGCACAAACTAAGAAGTGCTAGTCTTCAGGGTATTTCTTGACTCTACTTGCAGAAACAATCAGTCCAGGAAAGCATGAGTAAACAGCCAATGCCTTTTGGGGTGAGTGGCCCTGCCCAAAGTATCTACTAGGATTGGTGCTATTAGCATGTCATGCTGTCTTTTGATGAACAACTGCCTTGTTTTGACAAGAATTAAAATTGTTTTGGACAGAAATTGTTTTGCCCTATGGCCTCCAAGCACCAATTCAGAATTTAGAATAGAATAACAAGAGTTGGAAGGGACCTTGGAGGTCTTCTAGTCAAACCCTCTGCCTAGGCAGGAAACCCTACACCATTTCAGACAAATGGCTATCCAACATCTTCTTAAAGACTTCCAATATTGGAGCATTCACAACTTCTGGAAGCAAGTTGTTNTTCCCTCTGGAATGAGCTGCCCCCGGAGCTTCGTATAATCCCTGACCTCCGGTCCTTCCAACGCGCCCTAAAAATTGGCTTTTCCAACAAGCCAGCCTAGCCTGAACAAAACAAAATAAATTATTGATTATTGTTAATTTTAATTGATTTTTTAAAATGTTATTGTTAATTTTAATTGGCTTTGTTTTGGGGATATTATATATTATTTTTTTTCACTTTTGTAATATGTTTTTTTTTTAATGTTGTACACCTGAGTCCTTGGGAGAAAGGCGGCATATAAATCCAATAAACCAAACTAAACCAAACCAAAACAAACATTTTCTTATTGTTTGGAGGGAGAAATCTCAGAGGCAGTCTGAGCAAAAACAGTGTAAAGAGAGGTTAATTATTAAAAATCTAGCAAAATCTAGCAAAACAGTTCAAAACACTCAAAAGCTTTATATCGGCCATTACAGAATAGCGTCATTATTTTTCTTTTACCTTCAACCATAACAGCATAACATCAATTATCTATTTAGATACTTTTTTGCATGGTGGTGCACAGTGGTTAGAATGCAGTAGTGCAGGCTAACTCTGGCAACTGTCAGGAGTTCGATTCTGACCCGCTCAAAGTTGACTCAGCCTTCCATCCTTCCAAGGTTGATAAAATGAGGACTTAGATTGTTGGAAGCAATATGCTGACTCTGTAAGCCACTTAGAGAGGGCTTTGAAAGCATATGAACTGCTATTTAAGTCCAAGTGCTATAGCTATTGCTCTTAATCATGCCAGCAGGAGCTAAGAGATGGACAAAACAAAAATCCATTTGACTGGTACTGCAGACCATCTTTTGAACCACAAGAGACTAAATACTAAACCATTTCCAAACAGGCATTCAGGATTGTAAAACCCCCAATCATCATATTCACATTATGCAACTGTGGTAGTATTTAGACAAAATACTAAAAGTTTGAAAATATATACACAAATGATAGATAGAAATTTCTTTGAAAATATTTGTAGAGTATTCCATGCATATGCGTCGATATTTCCCTAGATGGATAAATTATGAGCACTCACACATATCTCTTCAGGAGGGAGATCATTTTCTCTAGGTCCAACCCATCTGGATTAAAGCATATTGATGTAGTCCTTCTGTCCAGTGCTGTTAGTGAGATAAATCTCACAGCACAGCCTTCCAACTCTGCTATTTTGCCTTGTCAAGCTTCATTTGTGTGATGGAATCCATCAGTTCAGCAACTTATAATTTCCTTTGCTGAAACTACAGGAGAGGTAAAATCTTACAGCGTGTCTTCTGAAACAGCCACTGCTTATAGGCTGTTTAATTTATTTAAAAAAGGTATTTTATTTCAAAAAACGTCTTTCTCTTTTTTCCTTTTCTTTCCAATCAGCCAGCATAACAACATTCATGAAAGCTCAGATGACTTCATCGCACATATTTAAATATTTCTTCACATAAGAATTTTTCAATAAAATAAATATTTCTAACTAAGCAATTGGGTTAGGAACCCCAATTATCAACCTATTAGAATACTTACTATCATCAACAAAGTATATGCAATTCATTTAAGAAAGAAGCTGCCAGATTAGGCTGAGGCAAATATATTGGGGCAGTTGAACAGGCTGGTTTTAGAGCATGGCATTCCCATCTACTTTAGACCATGCCCTAATACTACAATTTTTGATTGGAAAAAATATGCCCATAATCCATTATATGGATTTGTAGATTTTAAGCTTGCCTTTGATTTAATTTTCAAAAACAAGTTGCGGCAAAAATTGAAGGCTTTGCTACTGATAGACATTAGCTTTTATCTTTGCAAAAAACTCCATATCAGACCAAAGATAAAAGTTAGGTAATCCAACTAGGGTCATTTTTCTAGGGACATCCCACTGAGGAAGGGAGTTAGCAATAGCAATAGCAGTTAGACTTATATACCGCTCCATAGGGCTTTCAGCCCTCTCTAAGCGGTTTACAGAGTCAGCATATTGCCCCCACAGTCTG